TGCGAAGCGGGCCTCCTACGCTGTTCGCACTTTGAGTAGCGGGGGCTTGAGGAATATTGAGGGCTGGAGCGCCATATGTGCAGTTGGTGCCTTGGTTCTGGCTTAATTCCGTTGTGAAGCTTCACCTCTGCCAGAGCTGGTTTTGTTTGTAAGTTGGTCATCACGTGATCATCATGTGGTCATCACGATCGTCCGCTGCTATTCTAATGCCACGATGTTTTTCGGCAGAGATGTTTCCCGTGAAGCGGGGCGCCCCTTTAGAGTAGCTAGAGGATTGGTCAGTGCAACGTAAATCCCGATTGCGGCAAAAAGAAAGCTTGTCGCGCAAGCCAACCCGGCCCCATCCTAAGCACGCAAGACTGTACTTGTCAAAACGATCTTGACATAACGAGCCTGGTTGTGGATGGCGGACTTGGGTGGCTGGAAAAACTACAGTAGGAAGCGGGAGCCGTGCCTTGCCAGGCAAAAGGTTCGTTGATCCATTGATCACAACCTGAAGTGAATTTAGCCCCTACAAGCATCAACAATGATCCATTGAACCAGGTACTTTTAGCAGCTAAAGCATCTCGTAGCAATGTCCATTTCACCTGTGTCGTGTCGCGTCAGGTGGAACTGCTTCGAGGATTCGAGGGTGGACGCATGTGATACCTGTCAGTTGCCTCAGTTGTTTTCACTTCAGGGCCTTCAAGGCTTTGATCTTCTGGTAAACTTTGAGATGGAAGTAGTCCGATGATTGAACACCATTTTCAGATCCGATGAAGTAAATCATAGTAAATCTGTAAAACCATTTTGAGATCCGATGATCAACCATGTCCGTTGAGACATGGTTGACGCATGTTCCTGTGCTGCAAAGTTCATGGCGTTATCCCGCTGGGCTGATGTGATGCTGTTGGCTGTTGCAATGCAGGATATCCAACCTCCTGGGTGCGCACAACAGCAATATCATAACTATTAATAGATAATATTATGCTAAAAAAAACGAAACCCACCTAAACCCCTCAGAAGATGCCTAAAAGTGTTTCGCAGGATGGTAATCTGGATGATATTCACCACATATTTGAAGGTTTCCCATGTTTCTATCTATTTTGAGCTTGCTATACACAGAACTTTGGTGCCATGTGGGTTTCCACTTCAGTTGCAAGATGATTTTCCGGGTGCTGATCAAGGCTCACAGCAAGCACAGCAGAACCAGTTTCACAGTAGATGATGTTTGACATAGATATAATTGGGAGTTTCCAAAATTGGAGGTTTCCATAAATGGGGGTACCCTAAAACTGAATGGGTTTCAATACAACAATACTCTAATGACTTGGATGATTGGGGCTACCCCTATTTTACGAAACAGGCATAAGTTTTTTGAGGTCCCACATTTAGGACATGTGTTCAACAGAACACTTATCACTGAGACACTTGCTCTGCCATTCCAGTGACTTCCGCCATGTTGCGACAGGATCTGTCACCAGATCCCCGAAGCCAAGAGGGGAGCCGAGTGGCGGAACTTGAGAAGCGGCTGCAGATCTTGGAATCCGAGATGCTTCCAATTATACAAGAACTTGCAGCCCTGAAACGTGCGGTGGATTTTGGATCTACACGCGGAAGCGGCCTTAGCGGCTCGCAGTGGCTCTCTCTTGGCTCTGAGGCTAGCGACAGTGACATCAGTGACATCGATCGAATCAGTGACATTACGGAGCACATGGAGTGGCCGGAAGAGGAGCCTGAGGTTTCACCCATGGCCAGCATGGCCGCATTTCACGAAGACTTTGCCCCAGAGATTGTGCATACGAAAAAGAAGCCTACTGCTGAACCTTTGGTGGCTGGGACTGAAGATAGTGACCAGAATGACCAACTGGTGGCAGAAAGAAAACTGTTCTGGCTTCAGTTGATTCGAGACCATACCTCGCTGAAAAGTCACAAAAAGCTGGGCATCGGAGCCTGGCTGCTGTCTGCAGCTGGGCCAAGGATGTTTTTGGCTTTTTTTCGTGGATAGCTATGGAAAATGACCCATTTATAGATGATGTACCTTTTAAACATGTACATTTTCCATAGCTATGTTAAATAACCAAAGGGTAAATCCATTAGTAGTTGTATTGCCCAAGAGTCACCACTGGGAGGTTTATCGGACTTGACCACTAGCTCTGCTTCAGCTGGGACCCGCCAAGATGTTCCAACTTTTTTCGGATCTTTTCGGAATTTTTGGACTTTTGGATGCGAAAATCATGTCAGTTTCGGTGGAACTTCACAGAGGTGTGGTGGTTGCTTCAGGTGCATCGCAACGCAACCCTTTCTTGAACTTGGAGGAAGCGACCCTGGCCGATGGTTGGAAGTTGAATCATGGGATCTTCGCCAACTTTATGGGGGCGAAACGACCAAGTTTTAACATGAGAAACAACATGAAACAACCATTGGACGAACTGGACTAAAAACTTGAACATGGAGGATTAAAATCATGTAATGGTAACATATTTTCATGATATAAGAGGAAAATCATTGCCTTGTGTCCAATTTGTGCTATGGCTTCGAATCTGAGGTGTTTTTTGTCATTGGGAAGCCTCCCAAAACCTGAGATTTAGATATTCCATTTTTTTGGATGGCGTCATTGCCATCATGGGAAGGAGGTCAATTCAAATGTGACGTGCCACAGATCAGAACTGTTGTTGGGTAGGGAACTCTATCATACTCGATCTGTATTTCGGCCTGTGAAACAAGACATCATGGAGAGCCGTGAGCTTGGGAGAAACAAAAACAGATCCAACAAAGGGAGAGAGTTTTGGGATGGGGCTTTCTGTGTCTTTGAAAATCTTTAGATGCCATTGATGCCATCCAAAAAATGGAATAACAATATTTTGATGGCATCTAAAAATGGAATAAACATATTTGGATATCTTTAGATGCTTGTTTCAGCTTCATTTTTTTTAAGGGACATCTCTCAGGAAGCTGGAGCTCGAGATACAGACAGAGTCGGGCCGCAGGCTGCGGCCTCAGCAAAGTTACATAACTGTACCTGTAGTATGGTCGTTCACAAATTCAACTAGGGTTGAACGACGTTGAACGATTCATATAGATTTTATTAGCTATATTTAGCTATGGTAGAGTCTATAAATATATTTATCTGACATATCGACTCAAGTATGGTAGTCTGGTACTTTCAGAGTAGGGTGTTGAGAGTAGGGTCAACCTCTTTTGGCGTTCTGCGACATTTGGATGCTTGGATTGGGTGTTGCGCACCCTCTGGCGCCAAGTTGTCTTTGATGAGCACACGGATTCATCCTTCCTCACTCTGGCGTGGTGCGCTCAGAGCTGGTTGCTACCAGATTTGCTTTGGCTCAAGAGGCACCAAAGCAGCGACAATGCGCTTGGTTTTTCCTCTCAAGACATCTTGATGGATCTGATTCATGTTTGGTGCAGCGTATTGAGCCTTGATCTTGTCTGGCCAAGAATTTTGTCTACTTCCCGAAACAGTATGACCAAAAATGATCGAAACGCAGATTTTGGTGTTCAAGACTCAAGATTTCACAGCTTTTGCCTTGACTTCCATATTGCAAGTTCAAACAAAAGCTCTATACATTTGGATGATTTTTGATACATTTTTGATACATTTTCTGTAGACTTTCACACTTTCGCACCGGAAGATGATCTCCTTATCATCTGAGGGCCATGGGATCGTCTCTTGGGTCATGGACTCAGTTTTGCGGGTGATCAAACAAGCAAGGGAGGATCAGAATCCACGATGGACCCCCCCATTTTCCCATGTTTTTTAGATGTTCTTAGTATGTTCCGAGAGGTTTTTCAAACTGTTCAGGTATTTTCACCTCGTTCCAGCTGAGGCGGGGGTTGCCTCAGAGCAAGTTCGTGGCGGTCTTTGAGGGAGACTTCCTGGAGGCTTTGCAGTTTCCGGTTGGGGTTCTTAGAGATTTTGGGTATGGGTCCCAGATGGGCTGCAAATCAAGCCGCAGAAATCGTCATTTTTTTCGAACACAAATTGGGTCTGTAAGATGATTTTGCAGTATTTCTCTGGGGCCTAATGATTTTGAACCGCATCATACGCATTTCAGGCGATGTTTAGAATCTTTTTCTGTGCCATGATGAGCTTTTTTTTGCTCGGACATGAGCTCATGCTCGCGGGCTGGAAAATTCAAACTTGAACCATTGGCTCCCTTGCCCCGAGCAGAAAATATCCCCCAAAACCCGGTGACATGTATTAAATTTGAATAGCCTCTTTGATTTGGGAGCTGGGATAAATCGGCCTCTTTGGTTGGAACCAGCAGATTATATAGAAACCTTGGGAGCTCTCCGACTGCTGTTTTGGTTTCGCCAGACCTTACTGTATTACTCCTGGCACATGAAGGATCCGTTTGTTGCAAGAAGCCACCTTATCGGACTGAAGTGGTTTTCGAACACTCCTACACCAAGCATAAGGACAGTTGATCTCAAACTTTGGTGATATTTGTTGATATCAAAAAATATCAACAAGTTGGCCCTAGTATAAAACGATCTGTTGACATAGTTGGCACTTTGAAGTTGCTTAATGTCTTCTTTCGTGCCAACTTGACTGTTCTATCTCGTCATATCTCGTCTATCCCGACAGGTGCTGCCAAAAGCTGCATATGTGGCAGCTCGGCACAAGGTCTCAAGCGAGTACGATTCCATAGCCGCTACTGCAGACAAAAAAATGGGGATGAAGAGCAGTTGTGTTTTCTTTGTTTGCTCAGTGCCGCACTCCTGAAATCAACATAGCTTTCATTTCTGTTGGTTGTCCGCGTGGTCCACCTTCCCAGAAACTTGTGCAGCCGCGGGGCCGAAAAGCCGAGATATGCAGGATGCTCACCTTACTGAGGTGGGTATGCATGTCATCACCAGAACATCACCAGAACTCACTGGCATCAGGAATGGATGCGAAGCATGTTTTGGAACTAAGAGCTTGTATTCTGATCCAAGCAGAACACGAACCAGACACATGTTCAATATTTTGCTTGCTTTTGGCCCACATTTTTGCCGAAGCCATGCTGCCAGATCACCCTCGCAAACGCAAGGCAGATGACCGCAACGCTTCGCCACAGATGCCAACTCGGAAAGTCTTTCGGGGGGAGCCGGTGGAGGAACGCCGCATCCCCGAGACGCCCAAACAGGGCCGTGAAATTTCCTGGAACCTCTCGCAGTCCTCATCGTCCTCATCTTCAACCAGTGCTCGGACTTCGTCGACTTTGTTGACTTTGTCCCAATCTTCGTTTTCCGCTTCAAGCAGCCGTTTGCCCACACGGAGATTTCCACTGGATCAGCTTCAAGACGCGGAGTACCGTCAAGAACCAGATGGCCTTGAGCGCCACGAAGACGTGAAGAAGGAGAGCTATGAGAAGTCCGAGGGTGACGTGAAGGAGGAGAGCTACGAGAAGTCCGAGGGTGAGGCGCGCACATTTGATGTGATTGATGTGATGCTGATGAATAAAGAACATTGCTGTCGCAAGCGCTGAGAAGTCTTGATAGAAATCTTGCCTTCCATCGTGACATTCCATGGGCTAGATGTAAAGTTGGGGCTTCTATTTGTCCCAGGGTCTCCTGGGCATAAAAGAGTATGCCAAATACCCCGAATAGCTTGATGCCTTTTTTTGATTGCCCTGTGGCCAAGTTTGGAACCTGGCTCCCGTCAATTGAAGTTGACTTGCGGAAACACTTGCATCAACTCTTCACTGGCGTCCGCATGGGGTTTGATAAAGTCATTGAATGTGTTCGATCCAGGACCAGGATCTTGGGCCACCTGCGCCATCTGCAGAACATTTGGAGAGACTGGGCATTCTTCGCCAAATCGACCCCCACAGGATTGCCGACACATTGATCAGACAAGGCAAAGCAGGATGGACTTGGGACAAAAGAAAGCAATCAACCGTGTGCGCTGCAAGCTTGCTTACACACTACACCCTGGGCCAGGTACAAAACTTGACAACGTACGACGTAAAACCAGTTGCAGGGGCTGATTTACAATCTCCGATGTATCAGGCTACACTAGTCACGGTGTTGTCTGACAAGGTCTATGTTGGCAAACTGGCAACAGATGCGCCTGCAGCAAAGAGGTCAGTGGCCCAAGTGTTTCTCACGGCCCCAGAAGTGCAGGCCCTTTTTGACAAGATACCACCAAAGCTTTCCGACATCAAGAGTAAAGTCAGGCTTGATGAGATGGAAAGAAAGAGATGCAAGGAACACAACGCCTCAAGAGCTGTTCGCCATGAGATCGAATTTCGCCGTGCAGATGCTGTGCTGGCCGTTTTCCGTGAGATCGGCTACCGCATTGATCTTTGGGACCAGCTAGACGAATTGGGTCCTAGATCCCACAGATCCGGCATCGTCAGGGCAGCCTCGCCAAGGGAAAAGCGATTCTGATCTCATCGAGGGGATAATACTTTGGAAACCCAGTGTTCATCCAGAATCTGATTCCAAAGTGTCTAATGTTCATAAATCTCGTGTCACAAACTAAAAGTAGCATTCGTGGCGTCGTTTGGGAACTGTTTATTTTTCTTCCCTCGATTTAACCGGACAGTCTCAGTCGCCGTCTTGGATCACCCAGAGGTTTCCTGATCTTAGTATTTGCCCATTGGATCCATTTGCAACTGGGATATTCAATTTGTATACATAAATTACCAATGTATGATTAGTATATGCATATATATATACACATATATATATACATATATATATATATATGTACATATACAGACACTTTATACATGATGAAATTTCAAAATCCAAAAATGACAATGTTTCGTGGAACATATCAAATGTCATTGCTCACATGGCCCCGCCATGACTTGTTGCTTTTCATGGTTTTGGCCTTCCAAACCACCAGAAAATCTGAATGCGCTGAGGCAGGTCGGACATTCTCTTTGAATTGAAACTATAAAGAAACCAAACCAAACTCCAGAGAAATCAAAAAGGCATTTAAACATTGCGAAGACCATTGGCTTGGCTTGAGATGTGTTGGCTTTTCGGACAACGATCTGTGTTCTTTTGGGACATGTGACTGCCCAATGGAGTCGTCCAAATTCTGTGAAAGGTAAGGTGCTGCCTTCATTCTGATTGATCTGTGGCCTGCACATTTAGAGGCCACCAAAAGCGCTCCAAAATGCTGCTAGGGAGCTTAAACCGGAGGAGAACTTGTGGGGGCTAAATGAGTTGTTTTCCCAGATTTGTTGTTTTCACCAGGTCTTTCCCTGACAGATTTTGCAAGGAAAAACTTCACAAAACCTGGGTATTTCCTGGAAGATTCCGTATATATATTTTTCAATCCAATTTGTCAAACAATTTTGATGTGCAGACATTTTTCGCATCTCGTTGGCAGGACCGCCACTTTGACTGGGATAGTCTTGTTGAGGATGTCCAATGCAGAAAAGATTTCTGCAATGTCATGGGCACAGAAATTTTTGCCCGTCGCTGTGCCTGTGAAATTTTTGGCAATATCACAATGCAACAAGTGGGCACTATCCAAAATATCAACTGGTAGATTCTTATCGGGGTTATATATACGGTTTTACAGTTATGCAGGTATCGACTACTATATAGTAACACCCAAAAAGATAGAAACGTAAAATCCTAATAAAACAGTGGTACTTACATTACAGTTTTAATGCATTGTGGGAACACAGCCCAGCCAAGGTCATAGCAGCTCAAGGTTTTGCAGTGCTTGCACCTCCGGCAAGTTGCACCGAGGGGATTTCCATAGTCATGGGCGTACCCCAATAGCTGGATGGTTTATTTCATGGAACATCCTATTAAAATAGATGACTTGGAGGTACCAGCATTTTAGGAAACATATATTGGATATTTTTTATATGGATATATTATAATGGAAACTCCTAAGATGAGAACTAGGGGTAGCCCTATTTTAGTGACAACCCCCCATCTAGTGTTATGGTCAGTTTTTCAGGATTCACATCATTTTCCTCATGTGGATTGTCTGTTGATGATTTGATGAGTGTTACCCTCTGGTAATCAAACATGGCTAGCTGGCTAGGCATTGAACCGATCGGAGCTGATCTGATTTTGGGAAGTGCCAGGCTATTGGGTCGAGTCTACAAGAGAACATCAGCCAGATGAATGGTCTGGCGGAGCAGGTGTGACATGCAGTTGGATGCTGTGACGATCTTCCCATCCATGGCAGTTGTGATTGCAATGCCCGAAGGTGTTCTAGGTCCTAAGCGTTTGAAGCTACCCATTTCGAAGAGTTTTACTTCGCCATGAAAGTGAAGAATCAGGATGGTCCATGATTGGATTGAAAGATGAAGAGTGACGTGATTTTTTATGAATTTCTGGAGTCCAATTTGGAGCCATGCTGAGTTCTTTTCACGACCACGGGAAGAAAGATGTGCAGTCGGCCGCTTGCGACTCTACCGAAACAAGGTAAGCATCTGAGATGCGCTTGGTGCAGCTTCTTGATATCTCATGATATCTCGCAACCCTGAAGGTCTCGCCCAAATTTGGATAACTGAAAACGGTTCCCTTGTAGATCTCACGGAGAATTGTGGTTAATCTTCAGGGATATCACTAGCTTCATCTCTCAACAGACTCCTGTGACAAATTCTAGGGACACCTTTGCATGCCACTTTGAATGTTCATGAAGCATGAAGTGCCACGGTCAGTACAACCCCAGAAGTCGCGGAAGACATTCACTATTCACTAAAGAATCTGAAGAGATCTACCGTTGCTTCACTATGTGCGATTGAAACTAAGATACTGATTGGAAGTGAGTTCTAGGATTCAAAAACTCGAGATGCACCAGAAAATTCACCTTGGGAAATTGGAAAAATCGTTTGTGTGTGCGACATTTCGCCAATTTCAGCCGCCCAAAATTCATGGCCATTTCCCCATGGCCCAGCAGTTTTTCAAGTGACGCCCTTCGATCACGAGGTCATTGGCTATCGCGAATTGGGCGGTGGAAGTGCCAGGTTTTTGGAGGTCCCGGCGCTTTCAAAGTGGATTGGCTGCCATGATTTTCCCATCTCAGGTTGGTGAAGGACTCATTTTTGGGTTATTTTTGGGTGAAGGATTCATTTTATCTTATTTTTTTTTTGGTGATTTGTTGGAATCCATGAGGGCAAAAGACATATTGTCGGACACTGGTCGGACGCTGGTTTCCCGCATTAGCAGTGATCACCAGTCAGTTTGATCCAATCAGCAGGTATCCAGCAGCTACACAAGGTCATCAAGCTGAGAGATTTAGAAAAATGCAAGCGGCATCAGCTTGTGTCCCATGCAACATCATTCAATGCAGGTGCATGCTTTGGCTGGCGGTGGAGCTATACCAAACCCAAAGGTGCTCCAAAAACGCAAAACGAGACAACGAAAACTCTGTTGCAACGTGGCAGCAGAAAACCACGATGGAATCCTGGAAAGTTGCGACGTCTCTGAAGGTGTGTGATGGACTTGAGTGCTTTGTTTCCCTCACTTGCCATGTACATGTATAGTGCTTTCTCATCTTTGCTTCCATGATTGTTGTGAAAAAACAACACGGTTGTCAATAGCTTTTTTTTTTTGCCAAAATACATCAGTTGATACCCTCCGGTAGTCAAGGTTTGCTCGATTCAATCCCAGACGTAGGTGCCTGGTTTGGTGAAGCTTGCCTGCGCACTGCATCGTTCGTTTCAGGACTGGTGGAATCATGGAATCACTGTGGCTGGAAAGATAGGAAAGAACAGCATTGATGTTGGGATATTGGGATGTTGGGATTCTGCATTTGGTGGTTTCCAAAAAAAAAGGGGTACCCCTTTATCGCTGGATGGTTTATAAGGGAAAACCCTATTTAAATGGATGATTTAAATGGATGATTTGGGGGTAGCCCTATTTTAGGAAACCCCCATTTGGTTTCTGAAAACCACGAAACAGGTCGAAGTTTGTCTCGTGCTTGGATTGCAAAGTAGAGCAGTGGCGACATAGCAAACTTGAAATGCGGATGGATCAGAATTGCATGTGGCTGTGTCTGCAAATCGGCTAGCCGCGGCTAGCCCGAGATCCATTGTGAATTATGGATTTATAGATTATTTTCATTGATTTTCCTTGACCTTCCCCATATTTTTAGCGCACAGCCATGTTTTGATCCTCATCAGGGCATGGCGCGGCAGATCCTTTCCTGGTTGGCGGAACATCGGAATTTACCACCTGAAGCTTTGCTCCAGCTGGGGCTCCAGTCGATCTTGGAGGGAGGGGTGAGACTTAGGTTCCAAGAGGATCTTGAAGGCTTCATTTCTTTTGAGATTTTCTGTCAATCTTGGAGACAAAATCCTGGATTTTCCATGTGAGACCGATCATCAAAATCTCTCCAATGCTGTCCTGATGGACATTTTGCATTGTGTTTTGCAGGGTGTGGACTTTTTTTGCGCTCTAGCAAAATTGAAACTGCCGAGAGTATTCAAAAAGAAAGTTTTTGACATCCATCATGTGTTTTGGAATTTTTGATGCCAACAAAATCATGTCAAACAATGGAGGTTCAAAGGTTTGTTGGTCGCACGTTGTTTCAGGTGCATCGACACAGAGGCCTTGAACAACTTGGAGGAACGTGTGTGTTGCCGATGGCTGGTTGCGTCTCCGACAGTGAGTTGAATCATTCATGGGATGTTTTCTCAGCATTGGGATTTAACCAATCATGTAAATTGGGAAAATTGGGATTAAGCATCAACAATGCGAAGAATTACTGCCTGAAATTCAGGGATTTATGATCAAATTATAGGAACAACATTGGAACAACCAGCAAAACTATGCAAAACTCCTGGAGATTTTGGTGTTTTGAGGATGGTGACTGCAGTGCATCGGTTCTAAGTGAGAAACTCAGGGCGTGTCTTCAGCACGTCGTTGTGGGTGTCCTTGCCATCGACTGAGGGCTCTGTAGCTATGGCTTTGAATCTGAGGTGTGGAACTTGATGGTTTGGATTGGGAAAGCTAATCCTGAAATGATGAATTCAGGAGATTCAGATATTCCATATTTTTCATGGCATAATTGCCATCATGGGAAGGGGGTCAATTCAAGTCTGACGTGCCACAGATCAGAATTCTTTTTCGGGTCATAGAGAATTCTGTCTGTATTTCGGCCTGTCAAACAAAATATGATGGAGAGCCACTGGTTTCGTTGCAGAAACAGATCCGTGGTTCATTGGATTGAACGTTTATAGGAACAAGTTCATTTTTGATGCTAAAAAACTATGGTTTACTGTAGATTCTCCAATCAACTAGTCCATTGACTACTGTCTCTGGATGTTTGTTTTCAGCTTCATAGACAAGCCCGCCAAAGCCAGGCGGAACCGGAGACGACGGCGGAAGAGTCGGGTTGTAGTCTCAGAAGAAAACTTTGGCAACAAATGAAGGGTAGCATGGAAACCCATGGTACTCCCCAAGTCCCCCAAAGATGTGTTGCTGGTTGGTGGTTTGGAACATTTTTTATTTTTCCCATATATTTGGAAGAATCATCCCAACTGACTTTCATATTTTTCAGAGGGGTAGGTATACCACCAACCAGCTTGAGAGTAGGGTCAACTGTTGTTGAAATTCTCCTTGAGGAGATGCTCGGATTGGGTGTTGCTTCCCCGCACCAAGTTGTCTTTGATGAGCACACGGATTCATCCTTCCTCACTCTGGCGTGGTGCGCTCAGAGCTGGTTAGCTACCTTTGCTTTGGCTCAAGAGACAGGAACCATTTTTCAACCACAATGCGCTTGGTTTTTCCTCTCAAGACATTTAGATGGATCTGATTCATATTTGGTGCAGCATGTTGAGCCACATATCCAGAAGCTTGAACGTGTGGCCGAACATTTTGTGTTTACTTCCCTAGACAGTATGATGGAAACTGGTCGAAACAGGTTTCATATTGTACTGTAGATGTTTTTTGAATGCCTTTGGATAGATTGTTGATATGTTTTCCAATGTGGTAAACCGCCATAAACCATCGCCGTATATCGCCGTTCCGGCGCCATGTTTCGCTTTTCAATCCCATTCAATCCCCTAGCCCTGGTGGTCGTTTATGGCAGGCTCGCGTTACTATAATCCCCAGGCAACATTATGAGATGATGATGATAGTGTCCTATAGAATGTTGACTATCATCCATTCTGATTCTCATCATATGAGTGTATCATGAAGATGTACCTTAGTGTATCCATAGTGCAAAGGGTATGGTGGAATTGTTTTTTCCCGTTTTCTATACACTTTCACACATCACACCCTTGGAAGATGCACTTGTCATACTCATCCGAGGGCTATCGGATCTTCTCCTGGGTCATTGGCTTAGCGCTCTTCGAGGGCAGTTGGTTGATGAAAACCAGGGATGATCAGAATCCACCATTTTAGAACTATGTTTTTCCATGATCTGGAACTATGTTCCACAATTTTCCCCAGTTTTTTTCACCTGTTTTTCTTTAACAATGTGTTTTTTCCGGTGAGTTCAACCGCCCCTTCACCGGATCTCAGCTTTCAGGCTGCAATTCAGAGATCCCACAGATCCAGAGAAGTGGCTGGAAGTGGAGCCGCTGCCTAAGAAACTGGGATGACTCGGGAGAACTGGAGGTTTCCTATTTTCTAAGGGTTCTCATCCATTTCCTAATAGGTTTTCTATCCCTATTATTGATATAATGATGTAGAGGTTTTCTAAAATAGGGAGACCCCTAGTTCTCATCCATTTGAATAGGATTTTCCATTACAAAGCATGGAACCCCCCAGCTCAATTGACTCTGAAGGGATTGCTGAAAGGGAAACTCGGTGGCCATCATGGATGTTCGCAAAGGGTAGAGGCTGAGGTCGGGCTTGCCCCAGAGCAAGTTCGTGGTGGTCTTTGTGGGAGACTTCCTGGAGGTTTTGGGTATGAAACATGGGCAATGAAGCGCAGAATTCGTCATTTTTTCGAACCCCCAAAATGGGGGTGTACCTGTACTAGCGAATGATTTTGACCTGCAAGGCAATTTCAGGTGATGTTTCGAATCTTTTTCTGCACCAAGATGAGCTGATGATCCAACGTGAGCGGGTTAGTAATCAGCAGATCGGCAACCTCTGGAGCGTTGTGACCGCTTTTGCTTTCGAAAGACCTTACTCCTAGGTACAGAGTATGAAGGATCGGTTTGTGAACCCGCCTTACTGGACTGAAGTTTTTTTTGAACATTCCTACACAGTCAAGCTTAACACTCAGTTAACCCTAAACTAAACCGACTTTGGCGCTTACTTTGGCGCTTTAAAGTCACTTCATATCTTCTTTTGTGCCAACTTGACAGTTCTATCTCGCCCCGGCAGGTGCTAACAAAAGGTGCATACGCGGCAGCTCCGCACAGGGTTTGCTGCAATGAGGACGATTCTAATGCAAACAGTATGCTCCAAACATGAAAATCATGAAACTCCTCACCATTTTTCAGAATCCAGATATATTGGATTGCCCAGTAATGTTCCATTAGAATCCATTAGATTCATGTTGATATGTTCGGTTGCAAAAGGGCCATGGATCTTCCATGAAATTTGCATATCTGCAGGACGGCAGCGGTCGCAAACGACGCTTTAGTATGCCTTACTTGGTAAGCCAGCAGCGGCTTTGATCTTCGCACTGCAATGTCAAACAGATGGATGGTTGTGGAGCAAAATCACTGACCCTTGTTGATGGAAGTTGCATCCTAGCTTGTAAATTTCGAACCTGAACTGCTGAACCCAACATTCTCAAGGTTGCATCTTCATTGAGAGACATAAACTGAGAGATGCAAACTTGGAGAAGTCGTTCCTGTCACCCTGTTGCCGCTCAGCTCAAGCGAAGATGAACCCTTACAACTCGGGTTACCCGGGTGGCCCCGGTGCGCCAGGCGCTGGTCCAGGCGCCCCGGCCAGCAGCCCCTTTGGCGCCGGCGGCAATGTGCGCAACACGCCCTTCGCAGGCGGTGCACCTGGGGGATTCCCTGGCGCCATGGGCCCCCCTGGAGGCATGGCACCACCACCCATGGGAGGCATGCAGCCGCCACCTATGGGTGCTCCACCCATGGGAGGTCCAGGTGCTCCACCCATGGGCGGCCCACCAATGGGACCACCTGGTGGAGGGCCTCCACAGATGGCGGCGCAGAGCAATTTGCCGCCACCGCCCATGAAGAGTGCGTCCCCTGCCTTTCCGGGCACGGGAATGGGTGCCGCGGCCAACAATGAGCCGCCCGCCGCCTTTGGGGCGGCTGCCAATGTGCCTCGACAAACTCCCGGTGTGTACTCAAGTCCCATGGACAACAGTAGCATGCCAGGCGCTGCCATGCCTGGGATGCCTGGGATGCCTGGGCAACAGCAGCAGAGTGGGCAGGATGCGTATTCAGCGCAGTTCTTGAAAGATGTAGATACCTTCAATTCCCCAGCCCACTTTGTTCGCTGCTCGGTTTCACGACTGCCGAACTCCCTCAGTGCCAAGCAAAGGTTAAGCATCCCTTTGGGTGTTGTTTTGCAACCCTTGGCACCGTTACCACCAGACATAGAGCCGGTTCCATCGGTGAACTTTGGCGTCGTTGGGACCATTGTTCGGTGCAAGCAGTGCCGGACATATGTGAACCCCTTTGTGCAGTGGGAGGCAAATGGGCGCCGTTGGAACTGCAATCTTTGTGGCTTTTCCCAGTTGACACCGGACCCTTACTATGCCAGTTTGGATGAATCAGGCAAGCGCATGGATCGATTTCAGCGAGCTGAGCTACACAAAGGTGCAGTGGAATACATAGCTCCAGGAGAATACATGGTGAGGCCACCTCAACCACCAGTTTTCATGTTTGTGATCGATGTGTCCTATACCTCAGTGGTCACAGGGCTCTTGCAAACCGTGGTGACCAGCATCGTTGAAGCCATCCAGTCTGGAAAGATTCCAGGGGGCCAAAGAGTACAGGTTGGAATCATCACCTTTGACACTTCTTTGCACTTCTACAACTTGAACTCCAATCTCAGCCAGCCTCAAATGCTAGTTGTCTCGGACTTGGATGATCTCTTTTTGCCCTTGCCAGATGATATCCTGGTCCCACTGGCGGAATCAGAGGCTGCCATTGTGAACCTCTTGGAGTCTTTGCCAGGAACCTTCGGGGAGACCAAAGTCAATGAATCCTGTCTGGGCTCGGCAGTGCGTGGAGCATTCATGGCCCCTTGGATGAATTTTTTGCGATCTGATCCGAAGAGATTTGGAAAATTCGACTGATCTGAAGAGAGAATGCAACTGTGTCATCACCATACTTTTTTTAGCTCATGATCGATTTCTATCGATTTCTATCATCCAAAACCATCATCACCTCACCATCCAACTCATAGCAGCCTTTTCACAATTTTTCCAACAAAAAATGCTGTGACTTTGGAGAGATCTTCAGCCAGCGACTCAGCCACCTTTAGGCGATGAAACACATCGGTGGAAAGCTGCTGGTCTTTGGTGCTTGCATCCCCTCGGTGGGCGAATTGGCCTTGAAATCCACCCGGGACAACCCCAGGCGAAGCTCGGGAGCCCGAAAAAATCATGTGGAAATCCTCTAAACCTACAAAAAACTGTGGGAAATCACCATTTTCAATGGGTAAATCCATGTAAATCATTGTAAATTCGACTGGGCCATGGCTTCAATAGCGAAGTGTTAGTCATTACCAGAGGGTAGATCCTGTTAGATCCTCATGGGCCATTTCAATGGCCAGAAACTTTGGAGTTCCTCGGGTTTCATCATGTTTCATCCATCCTTCCAGGCTCCTGGGAACAGATCGGGAAGTAGAGTTGCTCCGGCCGGCAGGCGGGGACTCTGGGGCTATTGGAAGTTTTTTGACATTTGGCATCCGCTAAAGTGATTCTGAACTTTAATACCTCAAACATCCCAAAAACATCCCAAAAACATCCCAAAAACATCCCAAAAACATCCCAAAAACATCCCAAAAACATCCCAAACTACAATGAAATGCATCCGTTATTTTTTTCCAAGATCTATTTGGACTGATGACACTGATGGCATCTCAGTTTCTAAAAAAGCTTCTTCTAGGGATGGATCAATGATCAGTACTGAATTCAGGCAACGATGGCTATAAAGAGCTGGGAAAGGACTGCCATCTGATGCTGGAAACTGCTCAGTGTGTCTGAAATTAGGGGATACCACCTGAAAATGGCGGCATTTTCATGGGGAAAACAATGAAACATTGATAAATCATGATAAATCCCATGGGATTTCAGGATAGCCTATTTTCCAACAAAGCCCAAAGCCCGAGGCAAAACTGCGGGTCCAGATGCATCAGGGATTTGGTCATATTTTTGCCACTGTCAGCATTGTCAGCATCGTTTTGATGCAGACAGAGGTACTAATATATAATATTGGTTTATAATTTATAACTTATCACTTCCATTAATTCTTGATATTTGATATTTGATATATCCACCATAAACCTCAGTTAACTTAATAGTAAACCCCCAAAAAAATAGATAGACACGTGTTTCCAGAATGGTTTGATCCCACTTTTCCATCTCTTTTTGGCCTTTTCGATCCTATGGCGCAGGAGTTGACGCCGGCGCAGATCTCCGTGGAGCTTTTCTTGGCTCCTCAAGCCTATATGGATTTGGCCTCCATCTGTCCACTGGCGAAGTTCACAGGTGGTGATGTGCATTACTATCCGCAGTTCAACATCAACACCTGCTTTGCAGCTGGGCAGTCGCAGCCTTGTATGATGGTTAGGATGGTTGATGATGGTTGATGATGGTTGATGATGGTTGATGATGGTTGATGATGGTTGATGATGGTTGATGATGGTTGATGGTGGTTGATGGTTGGGGGCTGGCGATGGTAGGCGGATGAACATGTTTTTTGTTTAACAGAGGAGAGTGCAGCTGCATTTTGGTCCACATTTTGCTGCCATCCCACTGACATTTTAAGCTGCTTAGGAGAAATTCAAGTCAGAGTTGGTGCATGTGCTCACGCGCTACATGGGCTGGGAAGCCGTGATGCGAATTCGAGTCTCCAGAGGGTGGAAGATCACCAAGTTCGATGGACATCTCTTCATCCGTGGCCAAGATCTCTTAGTGGTGCCCAACTGCCACCAGGATCAGACCTTTGCCATTCAGATCGACATGGAGGACCCTTTGCATTTTGAAAAAACTTAGGCTTTTGAAGTGGAGATATAATAGTAACTATTAATCACTAATGAATACTACTTGAACTCATCTGATGTTCCCAATTGAAGCTACAGAGTGGGGAGATACGTAGTTTACTTGGTGTTTGAAGATGTTTTGCGAGATGTGAACCGGTGGTTTCACCATGTTTCACCCATATCACATGGATCTTTTCCAAAAGAATCATCTTTTTCATCCCATCCCTCTGGACTTTTTGCACATCGGCCCAGGAGAATGTGACCCCTGATCCCGTGCTGTACGTTCAGAGCGCCCTGTTGTACACCAACAGCGAGGGTGAACGGCGCATCAGGGTACATACCTGGGCCGCCATGACGACACCAAACTTCAACGACATCATTGGCTCCATTGACGTGCAGGTCAGGGTAGATTCATGGATGGTCGAGGACTTTTTCTGAATTCTGGTTGCGATTTTTGGACCATAACACTGAACTTGGATCTTTTTTGTCGGTTTTCAAGATTGAAGTATTTTTGTGAGGCTATTTCAAGAATAACTGAGTCATTCTTTCAACCAATATCGAAGATATATGATATTTGTCATCTTAAGATATTAGCTATAATATGCTATAATACATTACTAGTATTGACACATATATAGTAAAATATACCAATAGTGATAATATGAATAGTTCATATATTAATCATTATTGTATAATATTGATATAGTGGTTCTATTCAGTGATCTATTGTGATGATATTTATTAGGTTCATATACGCATCATCTTCAACAAATTGGTGATCTTTTCTGGACAAAAAGTGTTCAAAAAGCCTTTTTTGGTTGATGATTACTTCGGGGATTTGTTCATCTACCCTCCAGAAAAAACGGTGATTCAGTGACTTCAGTGAGGGAATGATACTCCAAGTTTTTCATGGGAATCCCAAGGAAGCGAGCAGTTTTTCATGGAATGACATTTTGGGATCCCTACAATGTGCGGCCCCCGTTCGATAGCTAAGTTGGTGCCAATAACTCCAATAACTATGGTTTATGGTTCTTATAACTTTAGTTACTGGGGCTTATTATAAACCAACTTATAACGGGGGGGGCCACATTGTATCATTTCGCCGCCTGAGCACAACCCTGGACATGGACAGGCGAGCGCCGTGATGATGTCGCACCAAGCGTTGGATCAGTCGTTGAAGACCAACCAGACCGATGGTCGGAACAAACTCAGCTCCTTCTGCCAGCAGGCGGGGACATCACAGCGGGGCATAACGCTTGCAGGGTGGAGTCAAGGTGTGTAGATGAGGGTTGGATCTCAGTTTGTTTTTCTTTAGACGTACAGATTATGTACTTGATGTTGGAACATTGTTGAATTCATATGAACTTGTGGCACTGACTATCAGTCGACCCCCAGGTGGTGCAGGCTGGCAACTTGTGCCCACAGAGTGATGCCTTGCAATTTTTGCCTCTGTACATCATGGGCATGTTAAAATCGGCCGCCTTCCGCGCCACCAACGACATCTCGGCGGACTTGCGGACCTACATCTGGATGCGGCTGGAGACGATGTCGGTGTCCCAGAGTGCGGCCTTCTTCAACCCCCGGTTGATGGCCTTGCACAGTTCGCCAGAGGAATGCCGGATGCCCAATGACCATGGGCAGATCCAGTTGCCAGAGATGTTGAATCTGACGAGTGAATCCATGACCCAGGATGGTGTCTACTTGCTTGAGGATGGTGAGTCGATGTATATGTGGATTGGCAGGGCAGTAGATAGCAACTTCCTCCAGGCTGTTTTTGGTATGGGATCCTTTGACCAGCTCGACGTCTTGGCAGCTGAGAGTGTGGTGGGTACCAGAAATGATCCTTTGTCAGAGACTGGGCGTATAAAATCGTCGATTCAGTTTTGTTTTTCTGCTATTGTGGGGATTGATGATGATGATGATGATGATGATTATGATGATGATTATGATTATTATTGTTATTATCACTATTATTATCATCGTTATCATAGCTTTTATCAAGGCAGTTATTACATGTTTTGGATGACCTTTGAGCTATATAATCATCTAATCCTCTGTTCAGGCCGTTGTTTCTGCATATTTTTCTGCTTTTAGGTCTTTAAGGTCATTGTCAGAAACGCCCCCAGCATTCAGGAAAAAGTGGGCAACATTATAAGACAAGTGCGCTCCGAGAGACCTACACCCTTCCTTCAGCTGCAGATTATGAGACAAGGGGAGCCAAAGGAGGCCAAGTCTCTTGGATTTTCTCATGATTTTTTTTGTTTTCTCACTGGGAAGGAAATCCACTGGGTGAATCTCAATGGGAAGATCACTTTTTAATATGTGTTTTTTTCGGAGTTCCGCAGCAACTTTGAGGTTTTTCGCAGCCCTGATTGAAGACAGGACTGTTGGAATGCAGAGTACCTATACCGAGTTTTTGCAGCGGATGGGGTATAGATCCCCACAGGCTACTCCCCCTCAACAGGGTGGCATGCCACAAATGCCCCCACCGGGTCCCGCCGGAATGATGGGGGGGCCTGGGGGGCCGCCCATGAACCGAGGGTATTAAGCGAGTGAAAAAAACCTCAGCTGATTTCCCCAGAAGAATCGCGATCCCGCGAGCACCGGACCCCACGTGCAGCAAAAAAAAGCTGCGCCGGCAGCGAGTTGATGCGAGTTGTGTGTCTTGTTGCACGGATCATAGCTGAGAATGACATCTTTCAGCAGAGTGATGCTAAGCTGATTGACGATTGGGGATTCAAATTCCAGCGGAAAGTGACATGCTTTCGATGATCTTTCGCCCGATGGACAGCTCAACAGGTACGAGGTCAGCCAAGTTCTGTGATTGATACCAGCAGCTTCATTGACAAGGAGGACACAGATTTTTCCATGGCACCTCAGTGCACCCCTGGCACCATGAACAAATGGTGACCAGCGCCATCCAGAAATCGTGGTGGATGTAGATTTACACATATTTGAGACCATTTTGGGGTGTTTGATATCAGGTGGATGGGACAGAGAACGCACAATTTTATCAACATTGATTGTTTTTCCAAGCTGTCATAGATAATTTAAATTTATTTTCAGCTCATGATCTCCTGGTGCCCAACTTTTCTATTCGGGGGTTGCTCGGTTGGCAGGAACAGTTGCCCTTGCTGCGCTTGGAAGGCCGAAGCTTTGACATGCTGTGAATGGAGGTGTTTCACGAATTTTCATAGGGCCAAAATGGAGTCCAAAGATTTAGATGAGTCTTGATGTGATTTCTTGGTACCTAACATTTGTATGTCAAGGACCCATCAAGATCTTTAAGATGGTGACAAGATCTTTCAAGGGACTTGACTCAGTAGCTTTGACTCAGCAGGTGTCAAGTACTCCGACTTGCGGCAGTTCTTGGACTTAAAAGGCCCCTTTGGCCAAGACTTCGTCGAAATTCGGGAGGCTGAAAGGTCGCTCAATTTCTGTTGGGGATATCCCAACACAATCATTGGGAATATCTCACCACCATCCAAATTGGGGACAAAAAACCATGTGTTGTGAGATATCCCATCCCATATCTGCGAAAAGATCTTCCAATTTGGTGAGTAAAATCGATCCTGTCCTAGGTCGGCAACGCTTTTGCGGCCAACGCCTGTTGGAAAGTGAGGAAAATTCCACAGCGACAGATGTTGGAGCAGATTGGCTGTAATGTTAACCCAGCGCCCAGTTTAGTACTGGGAACTTACCAATTTTGATAGTAATTTGTCACTTAACCGCACATAAATTGTTAGATTTTATTGGTTGACATTATGAACCATCAACACTTTGGAGTGACGCCCATACACTCATGGTGACATCTTGTGCCAACATTCATGGAGAGCTGGAAGATTTATACCGCCGAAGCTTTCCCCAAGTGTATACATCAGCTGATGCAAAATTACAAAACAACAGCTCCCGCGCCAGATTTCAAAGCATTTAACAGGTTACATGTTAAAATTTGACAGCACAACACGTTGGGGAATCGTTCACATTGGAAACATGTCATGCGGGTACAGCAGCAGTTTTGAGACGTGAAGGGCAGGCTAGTGTAAGAGTATTAAAAGTTGAGCTTTGACGTTTTCATCGAGCTAAGAAAACTAGCTTCTTCAATATCAGATATTATCAGATTATACTTGATGATAATCATATAGGATATGATATGTATATGTACCTCCGACCCGGGTGTAAAGATGTCAGTATTAAACGTTACTCTGTAGTGTGTCGGCTTAAGCTGTATGGCCACCTGTCTTCACTGCGATAACTTTGTGGGAGATCCTTGCCCCAGCTGCCGCACGCTCTTCCGCATTCGTCTGCTGCTGCTTGAGAGAGCTGTGCCCCTGGACCAGGAGGTGAGAGTCCTGAGTATCCTGAGGCACGCTGCCTGCGAGCTCTCTGACGTGTACGAGCAGCACGGGACCCTTCGTGCCTCTGGCAGTGGAGGGGCAGCAGGAAGCGGGGAGTCTCCATCCCTGGAAAGCTGGGTGAAGCCCAAGGAGCCGGCGGACCAAAAGCCAGGCCCCGATAAGGAGGAGAAGAGAAAGAAAGAATCGAAGAAGGCCAAGAAGGAGGAGTCAAAGGATAAGAAAAGAAAAGCACCAGCAGCGGGAGCGGAAGGAGCTCCTGGGAAGAGAGAAGAAAAGGAGGAAGACAGGCGGTCAGAAGGAGAGGTAATCAGAGCTGCCAAGGCGGCACCTGCGGACGAGGCAGGAGAACGACGGGAAGAGGCCGAGGAAGGCCTTCAGGAGCACGTTGACCAGTACGTCAGCTCCAACCCTGAAAAGTTTGGGCTGGGCAGTCTCTCAGTCCGAGGTTCAGCTGCCCGGCATTTCCAGGAGAGTGAGGCCAGAGGACGACAGCGTCCAGCAGAACCAGAAGGACCCCCACCAGGTGCAGAGTTACCAACGGTTGGAGAGAGGCACGTACAGAGGCGAGAGAGATCAAGGTCGGGTCGAAGGAAGTCGAAGGGTGCTAGGCACCGCCAAAGAGGTCGTGACTTCTGGAGACAAGTCCATCTACAGGAGCAATGGCGCCGAAGGCAGCCGCAAAAGGGAAAGCGCGCGCCCGAGCGAAGGCGAGGGTGACACCGCGCAGATCGGGAGCTGCCGGAGGGGGCGCTCCTGGGGCAAAGAAACCTGCATCGAGGATGGCCCCTCCGAGCAAGCGGCCAGAGAAAAAAGAAGAGGATGCCGGGCTCGAAGCCGAAGCCTTGAAGAGGTGGCAGAAGGGGTATGCCGTGACCTTGCACCGGCTGGACCCTCGGGAGTTGGAGAAAGCTCCTGGGATAGTTGTCATCGAGGGGAGTTATTACCATCACCCCCTCCAGGTTGCTGGGAAAGTGACGGGGGTGGAGATCTCTGGTGGCTCAACGAACTTGAAGCTGCGGCCAACAGGTACTACCAGCGAGGAGCTGTTGAAGTACCACACAGGGCATTGGGGTACCGAGCTTCGGTGTCACCTATGTCATCAAGGTTGCAATCGAGAGGAGGTCGCCGACGATCTCGTTCACATCCAGGTTGCACGCCCCTTGAAGGCCGCGGCAGAAGAAGATCCTTGGGTCAAAAACCTGGAGGTGACAGAAGCTCCAGGAGTGGACGCAGACGTGGACGAGATGGCGCTCTTGAGGGCGAGAGCGGCAGAGTTGGCGGGGGTTCCAGAGGCCCCTGGGAAAAGGAAAGCTCCAGAGGAGGGGCGCGGTCAAGGATCAGATCAAAAAGAGAAGAAGAGAAAGAAAAAGGAAAAGAAAGTAAAGAAGAAGAAGAAGAGAAGAGACAGCAGCAAGAGCAGAGCAGAGACCTCAGGCGAGGAGGAAAGGATGGATGGCACGCGTCCCCGCCTGGCCAACCAGAAAGAGGTAAAGGCACTTTTCCAGGGAACAGGCCTGGACCCCAGAGACAAGATACGAAACCGGGTGGTGAGGAGAGCAAGAAAACACCTGAGGAGGCGGTCAGAGAGAAGCTCCTCGAGCGATTCCGGGAGCGAGAGCAAGAGAAGCAGCTCCGAGGATGGCGAGACGGCCGAAGAGAGCATCTTCGAGACCGCGTCCAAGGTGCGGGTGATTGCGGAGCATTTCCCCGGTGCCCTCACGGCACAAGCAATGTCGCAGATGAGATCGACACTCCTCCAAGAGGTTGGGTTGGAGGATCGCCCCAACACCTTGCACCCGGTGGCGGTAGCATACCTTCGGCAGAACCTCCAGAAAAGGGCCTCTGGCCCCACTCTGCGGGAGCTGCTGACCCTGTCCCACTGCCTGGACAGCTTGGTGAGAGGGAAAGTGGCCTCGGCCACCGATGTGATCACACAACGGATCAAATCGATAGAACAAAGTCTATCGGGAAGCCACTGGTCGGTGTCCCAGAGACTCGAAGTTCTACCACCCGATTCGGTGATGCTTACAGCGGTGCCGGAAGCTGCTGCGGCACAAAAGGAGCTCTATGCGGAGTCAAAGGCTCGGTACTACTCAGGGTTTCCCGATGGACGCGCTGGCAAGGGAAACAAAGGGCAAGGCAGAGGAAAAGGAGAAGGGAAGGACAAGCCAGGCCAGAATGTAGACAGGGATCGGAAAGGATCAAAAGGAAGTGGGGGGAAGGCAGACCCCAACAAGAAGAAGGACTGAAATCTGAAAAGATCAGAGAGGCTGCAGAGAAGCAGTCCCAAATGGCGGGAGTATGCACTCCTGGGAAGGAAAGTGAATGCGCCAGCCTGTGGGAGATCGGGCGATATGAGAGGGGGACGGAAATGGCCCCTCAGCCCTGCTATGAACTTGGCGCTGGGGCGCAGCAGCGGCACCCTCAAGGGCTGCCCTATGAGCTGTCCTCGCAATCAGTGCATGGGCCTTCAGCGAAGTCTGGAGAAGGAAGAATTCAACTTGGAGAAGGAGAGGCTGATGGGCCGACCGGCTCTGCGAGCTTCGAACCGATGCAGCGCGACTTTTGCGCCTCTCCGAGAAAAATGGATACGCTTTTGAACCTTGGGGATTTCACCTTGGGAACTGTTGGTCATGTTTTGTCTAACAAACTCCTGGAAGTGTTACCGCTTTGCAGCCAGGCCACGGGTAAAGGTGGATCTAGGTCTATTTTTCCTTTACCCACTTCTAGGGAGATTTTGTTGGAGATAAAGCATGACCTCACCGGTAATGAACTCTCTTGGTGTATCTGCTTGTGTATGTCCCTGAACTCACTTTGGGGAAACGAAGTGCTGAATGATGAGCCGCCGAATCATTGTCAAAGTGTTTGCCTCGGTGAACTTTTTTCACATGTGAGTTTTTTCTGTGGTTTGACGGCACCTTTGGTGGAGCTGGACTGGGCAAAGTTTTTCAAAGTAAAGACCATTGACTATCGTGGAGATGAAGTCAAGGTGGGACGATGGTTTAACTGGAACAATGTTGCTCCTGCCCTGCCTGCTGAGATCGGCAGAGTTCCGCTAGAGGATGTCTGTAGCCTAGGGTGCAGGCACTATGTCCTCAATTTCGATGACTACCTCAAGCCACCCTCTGAATGGGCCCCAGTGCGTGCTCCGAGAGTCATGGTGGAGGACTCTTCGTGGGAGGCAGTCTGCACTGGATTGGTGTCCACGGGGGTATGTTGTTGGCTGGAGGAATCAGAAGTCTTTCACGTGGGTGACGCGCCCCTCCTCAATGGCCTCTTCGGAGTGTCCAAGGAGGAGTGGACCTCTGATGGAACGGAGGTTTTTAGGTTAATCATGAATCTTATTCCTCTGAATGCGCTGTGTTTACCGTTGTCTGGAGACGTGGATACTCTACCATCTTGGGGTAGCATGAGCCCTTTCTTTCTGCAACCAAGTGAACACTTGCTTATCAGCTCTGAGGATGTGAAGTGTTTTTTCTACACTATGAAAGTGCCACTGACATGGAGAAAATTCTTGGCTTTCAACAAGGCTGTCCCTGATGGGGTGCTGCCAGAGCACTTGCGGGGAAAGAGGGTCTTTTTGGCATCCACTGTTTTGCCGATGGGGTTTTTAAACAGTGTGAGCCTCGCACAGCACGTGCACCGCAATCTTGTGGCCTGGAGCAGGGAACACCAACCTGATCTAGCCGGGGAGCAAAATGCCCCTGAACAAGAGCTGCGGAAAGACCGAGCCTTCAGCACGGGGAAACCCAATTGGAGAGTTTATCTGGACAATTACGACCTCCTGGAGCGGGTCGAGGCAACTATGATGACTGACCTGGAGGGCACTACAGCGCCGGGTGTGCTGGCACTTCGCCATGAATATGAGCGCTGGGATGTCCCCCGGAACGTCAAGAAGGCCGTGGAAAGGTCGCTTCGTTGTGAAATGCAAGGTGCAACTATTGATGGTCAGGTGGGTGTTGCCCTCCCACGCGAGGAAAAGCTGGGCAAGTATTTGTCTCTGGCTCTCCAGTTGTGTCAGGCTCCACGTGCTAGTCAGCGACAGTGGCAGGTCGTTTGTGGGGGCTTGGTATATGTCAGCATGTTCAGACGGGCTCTCCTGGGGAGCCTCAACGGTGTCTGGCGGCACATTGAAAGCTACAATGCGGGGGGTCCTCACTTTAAGGCAACCCCTGATCACTGCCGTCTCGAGGTGTTGCGTTTCCTGGGGATGTTTCCCCTGGCGAAGCTTGACTTCAGGCTGGATGTACACCCTGTGGTTACTTGCAGTGACGCTTCGACTTCAGGCGGGGGAATATGCGCATCGTCGGGCACCACCGTGGTGGGTCGCTCCATCGCGCAGGGGGGCTTGCGGGGTCAGTTCCCTGAACAAGTTACCTCTGGCGGGATTTTGGCCATCGGCTTGTTTGATGGCATCGGCGCATTGCGGGTGGCGCTGGAGTTGCTGTCCGTCCCGGTTTTGGGTTATGTCTCTGTGGAGCGGCATGAACCAGCCCGGCGAGTGGTGGAGCGGCATTATCCGGGGGTGTTGCATTACCCTGATGTCACCTCAATTGAGAGCGAACAAGTTCGACAATGGAGCACTCGGTTTTCACAAACTACCCTGGTCCTGATCGGCGCCGGCCCACCCTGCCAGGGTGTGAGTGGGTTAAATGCTGACCGCCGCGGGGCCTTGAAAGACGAGCGTTCCTGTTTGTTCCAAGAAGTTCCTCGGATCAGAGACGAAGTCAAGCGTTTCTTTGCGTGGTGCCCTGTGTTTGTCTTGATGGAGTCTGTCGCGTCGATGGATCGAGGTGACTGGGAGATCATGAGTCAAGGGATCGGTGAAGAACCTGTCCGGTGCGATGCTGGCACTTTGACTTGGTGTCACCGACCGCGGTTGTATTGGTGCAACTGGGAGCTGGTTGACATGAGTGGTTACACCTTGACAGAAGGAACGGATGGTGGTGTGCGGGAACTCTATCTCGAAGGCAACCAGGATTTGCGAGAGGTGATTCGTGCGGGGTGGGTGAAAGTCGACCCTCAAAAGTCTTTCCCCACCTTTACTACGGCTCGGCCCCGGCCCACACCTGGACGAAAGCCGGCGGGAGTACAGCAATGCTCCTTGGAGGAACTCAGCAGATGGACCAATGATAAGTACAGGTTTCCGCCATATCAATATTGCACTAGCAATTGTCTGGTTAACAAGCGCAACCTCGTTCGACTGCCAGACGTTGGTGAGCGTGAACTGATGCTCGGTTTTCCTTTGAACTACACAGCCGGCTGCCTACCGAAGTCCAAGCAGAAGGGAGAAGAGTACAATGACTGTAGACTTACCCTCCTGGGTAACACCTGGAGTGTTATCGTCGTGAGCTGTTTGTTGAATCAGTTATTCGGCCGTTTGGGGCTTACGGCCTATCGTTCCCCTCAGGAGATCTTGAATCTTTCACGCGCAGGGGCTTGCCCCACTGCTCAAGGTAGGCTGTTTCGTTTACCCTTGAACCCACCAGCAGGGCGAGGGGAGGATGCCAGTCTTGAATTGGCTAGGAAACTTGCCAACCTTATTTCAGTCAAAGGTGAAGACATTTTGCTAACCACCCCTACAAGCCAGATGGGAAAGTTTGCTAGGCTGCGTGCAACTGTTCCGGCAAAATGTTGGAGGTGGAAGATTATCGCGGGATGGAAGTGGCGCCGTGGAGGTGACCATATCAATGGTTTGGAGTTGCGGGCGATCCTGACAGCGCTTCGGTGGAGGGTGGAACACGCGGGTCATCACAGAGTTCGATTGGTTCATTTGACGGACAGCCTAGTCTGTCTTCACGCTTTGAGTCGAGGGCGTAGCAGCTCCCGAAAGCTCAGGCGTGTCATGTCTCGCATCAATGCACTGATTCTCGCCTCTGGCATTCACCCCCTTTGGGGTTACGTGCACACTGAGCAAAATCCTGCCGACAAACCCAGTCGATGGGGCAGGCAGGTGCGCTCCAAATTTCGTCATGCCAAAGCGTAGAATTCTTGAGGCACCGGAGGCCAGTGCACGAGCGAGACAGAGGAAGGAACTAGGAACTCTACAAGACCTGACCGTGCAACCCGCCACTCGAAAGCGCTATCAGAAGGCCATTGCTGGTTTTTTCTCCTTTCTTAAGCAAGAGCAGATCCCCATCCCTACTAAGCGTGACCTTTTCGATGGTATTGTTTGTGAATTTCTAGAGTATTTATGGAGTACAGGGGCTGGGCGAGGTTTGGCAAATGACACACTCGCGGGTCTACAGGACCTACAGCCTAGCCTTCGGCATCATTTGCCGGGAGCCTGGCGGCTCCTGAAAACATGGGCAGTAAACGAGATTCCCAATCGGGCCCCTCCTCTTCCTGAGCCCGTTGTACATGCAATGGCAGGATGGGGTTTTTTCCATGGGCATAATTCGTTTGCTATTTCACTGATTCTGGGTTTCTATACTATGCTTCGTTCGGGAGAACTCCTGGGTCTCAAGTCCTCCAATATTATGTGTGCACCCAAAGATCGACAAGTCCTGGTGTCCCTTGGGCTCACAAAAGGTGGAAAGCGCCAAGGCGCGGCTGAATCTGTTATTTTGGGGGTTGAACCTGGGGTTATTTTGGTACAGCACTGGAAGACTCTGGCTTCAGCATCTACTTCCTTGGCTATCTCACCTGCTAAATGGAGATCTCTTTTTGCTGAAAGCCTAGCTGCACTTGGCTTAGAGTCTTTTCAATTTAAACCTTACTCTCTGAGACGGGGCGGTGCTACTTGGTGGTTTCAGAAGCACCAGAACTTAGATCGGATTTTGGTCCAAGGAAGGTGGATGGCTCACCGGACTGCCCGTATTTATTTGAATGAGGGATTAGCCATAATGGCCAAGACCCAGATCAATTTTGAAACTCCCGCTTTTCGGTCATTCCTGCATATTTACAAACAAACTGTCAAGAAGCCTTCTTTCTCCACACTTGAGCCTCCAGCAAAAGTTGCTGGAAGAGCTGGGGGACGTGGAAGGAAGAACAAGAAGGGATGCAAGGTGAGGAAGCGTGTCCAAAAAATTGCAATTTTCCGTTTTTCACAGGGCTGACTGCTGTTTTCTTGGGGGCAAGATGTCAGGAGGAGTGGCTCGACTACCTTGCCGGGGGAAATTGACTTGGTTCTCCTTTACCCTGGGTGTGGCCGGGTAATCGAGAAGGTCAGCTAAGAGAAGAGCCAGTAGTCACCCCTGTTTGGATTTTCATTCCGTTATTTCTCAACTTTTATATATCTGACAAATCTGCTGCAAAGCGGAGTAAAAGTGTTGTGCTGCACATCTTTGTACCTCCGACCCGGGTGTAAAGATGTCAGTATTAAACGTTACTCTGTAGTGTGTCGGCTTAAGCTCCCGAACCCCCCCATCCCCGGGAGTCTTTACTCCTGAACAAGAAGGGATGCAAGGTGAGGAAGCGTGTCCAAAAAATTGCAATTTTCCGTTTTTCACAGGGCTGACTGCTGTTTTCTTGGGGGCAAGATGTCAGGAGGAGTGGCTCGACTACCTTGCCGGGGGAAATTGACTTGGTTCTCCTTTACCCTGGGTGTGGCCGGGTAATCGAGAAGGTCAGCTAAGAGAAGAGCCAGTAGTCACCCCTGTTTGGATTTTCATTCCGTTATTTCTCAACTTTTATATATCTGACAAATCTGCTGCAAAGCGGAGTAAAAGTGTTGTGCTGCACATCTTTATATATATAATATGGTCAAAATAATATAATCAGATTCAAGATCATAATGTATATATATATATATAATGTTTATCATCATGAATATATATATATATATATTTATCTCATGACAATATCAATATCAGAATATTTTCTATGTGTCTTTAACTCATATTCTGATTTTGATTGTCTGCTTTATGGTGATGCCGCTTCCGGTTCGCCATGACAGATGAAGATGAAGGTGATGGGCTGGTTGGATGGGCTGGTTGGATGACCTGGATGACTGGGTGGTAAAAAACATGGAAAAATCCATGGAAGAAAATTGAACCATTGAGCTTTACAATGCTTTACACACATCTAATCAAGTAAAAAAAATATTCTGAATATTCTATGAATATTCTGAATATGATCATTGGAGGACTTCAGAACTTCACCATAAGTCTGATTGTTAGATTTCCAACTTGGAGTTCCGATGTTCAGAACTTTGGTTTGATGGGCCTATTGATGGGCCCAGCATTGCAATTGTCTTTTTCGATCCGTGACGATCTGCGGGATGATCGAAGTTTCCATTTCTCGTGCTGAGGATTTGTCAGAAGTGGGAACAGCAAAACCGGATCATTTGATCTTTGCCCATGTATCGACCTTAAAAGAAGAAACAAAATCCTGACTCTCTGTAGCTCAAAACACGGAAATTGCGTGGTTGCAGTTCCAATCTTAGCATTTTTCAAGAAAGTTTCATATCTCTTCAAACAAATACGGAACTTCAAAATGTCACTTTCGCTTCGAAATGTTCAACAAAGCATTTCCCTTCAGAGTTTAAGGATGTGAAACCGTTAATCTAAATCAAACTCAAATGTTGATGAAGTTTCATGAAGTTTCTATAAATAGGGAAGAATTTCTGCAACAGTTGGTAGGTGGTTTATCACATTAATTATAGGGTTTCAGCCATCCATCGTGTGACTCGCGCCCAGATGCCCCACCGCTGCCGGATGAGCCGCCGCCGTTGCCGGATGAGCCGCCACCATTGCCGGAAGGGCTGCCCCCGGAGGCTCCATGTTGACAGATATGGAGGTGCCCCAAATCATCCATTTTTGGTAAGAAACCACCCATTTTGAGGATTATAAAGCATCCATTTTTGGTAATAAACCATCCATTTTAGTATAAATCAATGATTTGCCACAGATTTTGGATAAACCATCCATTTTAGTATAACTCCCCTGTAGAAAGGAGCCTCCCCCACTTTAATGATTTTTAATGGTTTTGTGGCTGGGGTATAAAGATACCGGAAAAATCAGAGATCTTTGTACATTCCAGTAATATGCACCAGAATTGGACCGTTGCATCACCTGAGAGCCTTTACAGGTGGCGACCGAAGCCACAAGTCTTCACCTCAGTGAAAGGTGCTCACATTGTTAAGGATCTAAATCATGGATAATTTATACATGTGTATGTATATATGTATATGTATATATGTAATATATAAAACATATACCCTCTGGTTATTTAACATAGCCATGGTATAGATGGCCCATAGAAATAGATGGTTTACCTATTAAAACTGGTGATTTTCCATGGCTATGTTTGTCATAACCAGAGGGTATATGTTATATATACATATATACATATACACATAAAATATCTACATATCACTGTCATAACTATAGTCACAACCATAGCGACAATGATAGTCTTACATAAGTACAGCTGGTAAAAACAGAGCATTTTTGCTGTGTTTGTTGTTAATTCAGCTTCCTCCTAAGGCTCTACCGCTCCGGTGGAGGAGCCTCTTGATGGCAGTTTTCTGTGGTGGTGACGAGCAAAAGTCCTGGACTGGTTGATGGTTTAGTGTGGGTACCCTCTGGTAAACGTTCACAGTTTGCTATTGAAGCCATGGCCCAGTCGAAATAGTTGATTTACTGTACCCAGCTACATAGCATGGGTGGATTTTCCATAGTTATGTCAACGTTTACCAGGCCGGGTACACTTTCACTTTCTGCTCATCAAAGGTACTGGAAATTCCCCCAAAAAGGCCTATGGAGGTTTTGATGGGAAAATCCATGGTACACATGTGGGATTTTCCAGCTAGCCATGTTTGACCAGAGAGGCACCAGCATCTGAACAGCACCATCTGAACTGATAGGATCTGATAAGTGGTTGGGTAAATTTGCTGAGTCGTGGTTCGAAAAAAAGACCAGCACAATCTGCAAACCGCACAACAGGCTGATCATCGGGGAGCAGATTTAGATAGCTGACTATCCGTACCACAAGGGTTGTGAAAGGTGGTTCTTGAGGGCATTTTATTCAAGCCATCGCTTTTCCACGGCAAAATATGTCAATAGATGCATTTTCCAGTCAAAATAGCTATGCAACTGATCAAAAAAGGCAGTAGTGAAATGTAGTGAATAGGTATAGTGGGTGCGGAACAATTCAAAACATGAGTATATCATCACCATCAGCACTGGTTGAGATGGGTCTTGCGCTCATCATTTTGTTTCTGTTTCTGGGCCAGAGGGGTTTCACCTACATCTTCATCTTGAGGCCCCCTGCGAAAAGCCAAGAGGCAGCCAGCCGATTGTCAGGCAGGAGACCAGGGGTGAAGAAATTTTCTATCAAAGATGCGAAAGAGACAGCCGAATCAGATGGTCTTGTTGATGCTGATTTAGTGATTTAGGGTTCCCCCAGATGCTCAATGGATCTAAATGGATCTAAATGGGCCAAATGGTTGTGTTGACCTTGATTGATTTGCTCAGTCCAGCTGTATCACCAGGTATCACCAGGGATCACCGGGTATCACCAGCATGTCCTGCAGGCAGTGCTGTAGCTGGTGGTCACACGCCAGAGAGTATTGCAAGGTGGGGCTGCTGTATCTAAAGTTGTTGCGATGGAAAAGGCTTGAAAGTCGAGTATCAAAAAAGATATCCCAAAAAAAACAGATCAATCATGCAGGCAACACATGGTAAGCAAACAAAAAACCAGTGGCTTTCAAGGATTTTAACAGGTCTGTATGTTATGAAACCATGTGAACCCCCAAACAGCCAACATCCGCCAAGCTGGGAGGTTGCCCCCCAAGCTTCGACAGCGGCTGGTGCAGAGAGGTATCCTGAAGGAGGAAGATGTGACTTGGCTCTCATTCCAGGTTTTTTCTATCCATCAGGATTCATTTGGACATATGCCACAAATTTGACGGTTTATCCATGTTTATGATCATAAATTCCCATTAAGTGGTGGCCGAAAATGGGTGTTGTGTAGCCTATTTTCAGACCCATTTCTTAAGATTCATTTGGATGGATCAATGATACACGATCATCTTAGCGGTGCAGGGCTTGGAATTTTTTTTGTCACCTGCACTAGTGATTATATAATATTATATAATGATATTTCTTGTGATTCCATCATGGATGTATGACAACCATCATAAATGGTTCCTAAATGGACTACGATGTGATTAGTGCGACGGTGCAAATTTCAAAACTTTGGGTGTCAGAAAATACGAAATATGGGGTGTCACAGGAACTTGGATATGGAAAAAAAAATGGACGATCAATCATCAAAAAATTGCATATGGGTTACACCATAGATGTTATCATACATATACATATATATATATATTATAGCTGTAATATTGGATGATTTTTGCGACATTGATCAAATCAGGCAGCATCGTATTTCAAAAATCTCATGCCGAGGTGAACCTGGCTATGAGTGCTGTGCAAGGCTGGCATCACCAGATGGCGGTACATTTTTCATCATTTTTCGCCGAAGGATGGATGATTTTTGATGATTTTACCAGCTAGAAACATCTCAAAAGCTGGATAACTTTGATGATTTGTGATGATTTTTGGACTTCAAAGGCGGCAATGATGAGCCAATTGGTATTTCTGGTGCGATGGGATAGGTGCTGCATCCAGTATATCCAGTCCTCCAGATCCTCCAGCGTTCTGACCTTGAAGCGGAGCCATGTTGAGCAAAACTCTTCACAAATGGTACATACTAGTTATGATAGAACTGTATAGAAACATATAGAAAAGTATCTTAGAGATTCAGACTATGAAAAGAGTTATCTTAATCACCAAAACTCCAAAATCTCTTAATAGTTGTATCTAAGAGAATTATTTGCAATGTGCTGTGCTCCTACTTCCACAAACGCTCCTTGGGATCTTTGTCTTCCCAAGGACTCCAACAAACATCACGGGAGCGGTGGTGAAAGCTGCGGCTCCAGCGCCGACAGTTGGTGACTCAATCCTGGAACTCGGCGAACTTTGACAAAAAGGAACAATTACATATCAGAAGATCTACCCCTTATATAATAGCCCATAATTGCCAACTTTTGAAAATTACATATTCAAACATCTCATGCAGAAAAAGTATGAACAAGTTGTAGAGGTGAATTTTCCCAGCATTTTGCAGTGTCTAAAAACCCATCCCGCCCTACTTCCCGGAGCATCCTGAGGCGCCGGCCGTGACCTCTGCAGCCGCTTCATTGGCGTGGGCGCAAGCTGCCGCGGCGCGCGTGAATGAGGACTTGGCGAGGATAGCCGGGGTCATAGCCAGGATGATACCCCATCGCTGGTTGATTTCATGGATAATCCATCAATACATGGATGAGAACTGGGGGTTAATTTCATGGAAACCTTCATTTCTTACTGATATAACCATGTGATTTAGTGAAGAACCCCTAGAAGTTGGGATATACCCCCTGAAACTATGGTGAACTGTATCCACTTAGTTCACTGGAACTGCATTTGACGCTTTCAACTGCCATTTTTTCAAGGAAAAAGCTCTTGCCACTGGAAATCAATGAGCCAAGGCCATGGCTAAGGCAGCAGCAGCGGTGACCAAGGCCACTTGGGGATGGCTGGCTGGGAATCTCGTTAAAAACATGAACATTTGCCCAGTGTTTTTTTGAAAGCTAGCGTCAGCTAGCTGGAGTCTTCTTGCTTTAGCAAGTATTCCGGGGGCTGCTCAAGGACATCACGTGATTTTTCACGCGAAAGGGCCCCCCCAACCCCCAACCCCACCACCATCACCATCATCAGCATCATCGTCATCATCGTCATCGTCATCGTCATCGGTTTCGACATTGTCATTGGCATCGTTCTCGTCATCATGATCATGATCATCATCATCATCACCATCATCACCATCATCACCATCATCACCTTCCTTCTTTCCCCTACCCCGCTAGCTTTCGTCATCCACCCCCGGCCTCAAGTTGGATTTAGGTTGAGCCTCAGGCAGCCCAGCCCAAAGTCATGGCTCCCATGTCGGCGCCGGCCGTGCCCAAACAGCCGGTGCAGCATCCTGGAGTGTCCCAGCAGGCCCCGCGGGGATGGCTCGCCATGGGAATCCCTCGCTTTTCATCTCAACATTCATCCAAAATTCATCAGAAATAGCCTTATGTAAAGAATATATATGTAATTATATGTATATATTATGATATATTGATATTGATATACCCTCTAGTAAACATACAAAAGGCTATTGAAAATGGCCATTGAAATAGTGGATGTACCCATTAAACATACTTAAAATGGTAATTTTCCATCGTTATTTTGGGACAGTTTACCAGGGGGTAGCTGGTGTTTATGGATGTTCATCCCAAGAGGGTTGGCATTTCCGTTTTGATCACCTGGATGTTCTCCTCAGGTCTATTCGGCTGCACCGGTGATTTGCCGGGGAGCACAACTGCTCTGTTTCTGGTGATTTTGGGTGAGTCCAAGGTGCAATTTTTCTGCATTGTACCATCTGGTTATGACTAACATGGCGAACTGGAAAATCCCTTGTAAATGGAGGTTTATAGCTGGGAAAATCATCTATTTCTATGGGCCATCTATTCCATGGCAAACTGTTAAATAACCAGAGGGTAAAGAATTTAGATATGTTTCTGACAAATTGAGTGATACCAGTGATACGTCAAAACCCTTGATGTTCATGTCAGTTCCTAAATGTTTTCACCCTGCTTTTGATGTTTTCGCTATTCAGGGGTGACCTTTAAAGTGTTTGAATGGTTTCACTTGTAATAACCAGTTGATTATGGCAGACTCTGACCTTGGTATATCGCCAGGCAAGAAACACAGGAAAAACCCCAGATCAAAAAAGCGAGGCCCCAAGATAGGCAAGGCCAGGTTTCTGTTGGATTAATGGATGGATATGGAGGTTTCCGTTTCGTCATGGGGGTACCCCCTATTTTTTTCATCCTTATTATTTTCGGATTTTCACGCATTTTCCACTATAAACCAACCATCCAGCGATAAAGGGGTACCCCCATTTATGGAAACCTCCAGCATGGCCCCTTGAATGGGCAAAGCTACCTGGGGTCCCCGAGTTGGATCCCTTCAACCTGCAACGAGGTAAGGAAGCGGTGCTCAAACGGCCGCCGGAAGAGGTGCTCGAGGCGCCATGATCAATGGATCCTCCGAGCAAAGTTCACTGGATGATGAGAAAACAAACTTATGTATGTATATGATATACATTATATGCCCATATATATAATTATATTTAATTATATATAATATATATATAAATATATAAATATCATATACAATATATGATATATATATGGAGGTTTCCATAAATGGTGGTACCCCCAAATGGATGGTTTATAGTGGAAAAGCCGAAAATAAAATGGATGAGAACTGGGGGTACCCCCATTTCAGGAAACCTCCATATGGGCATATAATGTATTGCAAAAAAGTAGATCTCACAATTCCTGTCGGCACCCAACCAGAGGTCAGTGAGGCCAAACGCTCAAAGATGGAGGTCACTGGGATTGAGAAGATTTCAGATGCTTTCAGACAAGTTCCAGATATTTTTTTTTCGGATTCTTGTAGCGTGATGAGGTTGCACATTTCCGAATTTTCTGATTTAGGATACATCTCTGGTTTCATTTTTCCTGGCTTTTTCTGGCTGGCAGAAGTGGATGCTTTAAGACTAAAAATGACATGCCTTTTATGGGACCACTGGGCAATTTCGAGCCGGATCCACTTGGATTTGATCCATTTCCAGTCGGTTTTCCGACCAGAAAAGAGGTCAGTAGTTCGCCAGCGGAAGTTCGCGCAGCCGCCGCGCGGGCTGAAGGACAGGAGGTGCATTTTGGGATGGATGAAAACCGATGAAATACATTGAAATTTTAAATACCATATTTTTTTTTGGGATGAACATCCATGAAAACATATGAAAACATATGAACACCCATCATTTGTTGAGGTTTTATGAGTGGTTAAATGGCTTTTGATCCCAGTTTCTGATGATTTTCTGGTGGATGCTCCCATCAAAACGTCTAGAGTTGGGTAGCAGTCGTGATTTCCCAACAAAAGCACATGTTTTTTTTTTTGGGTGTTAGTTCCACATTTCAACTAGGGTTTGGTTGTATCATAACCAATGCATAACCAATGAAATTTAATACATTGGTGGAATATCATCAGATGAATGAAATTTCACCAGTCATTTCCAACGGACCAGAGCCAGGCGCCCGTGTGGGTCTACGAGACCAAGGAGGCCGTTGCAGCCTCCGCAGCCCCTCCCGTTGCCGTTGCAGCCGTTTCTACAGCTGCGGAGAGCCCACCAGAGGCGGCCAACAATACATGATACTGTAGTTATCTGGTTGGTGGTGACTGGAACATTTGGATTATGACTTCCCATATATTGGGAATGTCATCATCCCAATTGACGAACTCATATTTTTCAGAGGGATTGAAACCACCAACCAGATGATACTGTAGTTATTTTTATTGAACCTAATATTGACATCTCACGATTCTAAAATGAATCATGTTCCCATATTTTCCCTGTAGTCATGATATGTTATGATGGAAGAAATCCTGGATCAGCTGATAGATGGGCAACATCCCATTATTTTGTTTGGGTTTCAACCATCCTTTTGGTGGTGCAGGATTTCGCTGGCCCATCCACAGTGGGTGGAAGTTCCCAGGTGAAAGCACCTCCGCCTGCTCCAGTATGTGCCCCAGATTCTGGAGACATACTGTCGAATGTAACCCCCGGTGCCGATTTACGTGTTTCCGTGTTTCCAGAATGTTATAATAATGTTATATAGATTTATCATTGATTTCCATTTACTTCATATTTCCAGCTTTCCCACTTTTTCTATCTTTTTTGGGGGGGGTTTCTATGTTAATACATGTAATTTATCCAATATTTATGAGTTCCTATAGACATACAGTCTTCGGTGACCTGAAGCTGGCAAACCGATCAGGAAGGTCACCATTTTCTGTGCAAGATACCCCTTGGGGTGAGACCAAGCAGCCTTTCCTTTTCCCAGCAACCTGAAGACTCAAGAAAACATGTGGAAAGATAGAATGAACATTACCCCAGCCATGCTTACAGACATACAGTAAGTATATAATATCTATATATATATATATTGCCAATCCCCATCGCAGCTTATCCCCAAGTCTTTACAGATCATCCAGTGCCAAACTTCAGGAAGCAACTGGTCCACCTTTGCCTCCTGGTTGGGTGAGAGTGCCCCACGAGGGGGATCACTACTACTGGAACACCCAGACGAATGAGGCAGGAAAAATCATCAGGAAAAATCATGAGATTCTGAGATTCCCAAGTGATTTTTCATGATTTTTGCTTCTTTTCGGATGATTTCAAAAACTATCCTCAGGCTGCCAGGCTCAGATGTTTTTGCTGACTTCCAACAGCTCAACAAATCTACTACACAATAGGATCATTCATAGTTAAAAAGTGCCTTTTGACGGCACATGCCCTTTGAGCCGACTCTCAGCAGGTCAGTTGGGAACACCCTGCCCAGCCCTCGGGATCTTCAGCCATGTCGACATGGCGAAGATTGGCCTGGCTGAGGCGGAACAGGCCCAAAAGCCCAAGGGGGAAAAGAAACCCAAGTTCACCGAGGAGCACAAGGCAGATGGATTTACATAATGGAGGAAACATGATTAACAGGCGGATTTGAGGCTACCCTAAGCCAAATAGATGTTGACATATGTTGACTCAGATCTCATTCCAGTCGGCGCATCATTCCAGCGGCAAGGTGTTGTGGACTGACATTGGAAAGATCATAGGAAGACAGGGGATGAACCTGAAGATCATCAAGGCTTGGGTTCAGCTGGGCTGGAGTGTGGTGCCATTGGAACGAAAGGCTGATGGAGACCCCGATGTTGTGGTAGTTACTATGATGGTTTGGCAAAGGAACAACTTGTTGGACAAGGCAGATGCAGAAATCCAGAAATCCAGCTTGGGATAGTGGCATGAAGACTGAGGGCAAGGGGTTTCTCCAACTTTGGTGCTTTCTGAAGATTTGAACAGACAATTGCCATTGCGGCGCGCATTGTGAAGGCATCCATAGGCTGCGACATCCACATCCCAAAGCAGGACGGGTCTTTGTCACAAGATCTGTTGGTATCTCCTGACATCTGGTGACAATTGATCAATCAGATCAATCAGAGCAATGAATGATTGTTGATCCATCCTCATCCGGGCCGGAAAAGTTGGAGACCAGACTTCGCGTCCGTTTGCGTAGCGCTTGCGTAGCAGGATTCGGGTTCGCGAGATGACAAGAAAGATGGCAAAGGCAAGGGCAAGGACGGCAAGGGCAAGAAAGATGCCAAGGGCAAGTCGAAAGGCAAGCTGCAGCTGGTGATGGCCAAGTGTGACCTTGAACTCCACTTGCTTCGGAATGGGGAATAAATGAAAAAACCCACTTCGAATCATTGGAATGTTTTTTTTTTTTTTAAATAATGTTTTTGAGGTTTCAAATCATCATAAACCATCTTGGATTTGGATTTGGCACTTATAAATCACCATAAATCATCATAAATTATCACTTCATCTTGGATTTGGCATGAATTTCTTATGATTTTATGGATTCCTTGAAGCGCAATCCCCGTGGCTTCCCACGTGAGGGAAACGAGATGCAGAGGGGAACAAGATCGGTCGGGGTATTGGTGACTTGGCGATCGCGGATCAGGTCGTTGGGATGATCAGAGTGGAACTTTCAAAGTGCTTTGTGACAGAAATTTTTGTTTTGAGACATGTCATAATATATATATATATGATATATGATATATATATATACATATACATATATATATATACACATGTATACATATATATATACAATAGACATTAATGATATGTGAATATATTAATTAACATATGACCAATGACCTGAGGCGATGGGAGTACCAAACTGGCAGACGACCAATTCTGCACCGTGACCGTGACCGGAGACACTGCGCTCAAGGCGCGGCGCCTGGAGCGCAATCCCAAAATGGGGGCTACCAGGTATCATCCAAGTCGTGAACCAGCAAAGATGGGGGTACTTTTCCTGGGATTTTATGGGAGTTTATGGTGACTTAATAGAAATGAATATGGGATCTAATCTAATGGGTATTTACATGTATTTAGCCTCTGGTAAACTGTCCCAAAAAACCATGGAAAATCATGAAGGTCGATAGACAATCAACTATTTCTATGGTCATTTTCAATAGCTATGTTAGTATACCAGAGGGTAGTATTCAAATAACCATAGTGACGACTAGAAAAACGCCCATGGCTTGTGAAACCACCTTATTCGACCAAGGCTCAGTTGGTCTAACAGTCCGTTGCGACTGTTGATGTTTCCGTCAGGCCAATGGTGGGAAACGCTGTATCCAGATCATGCTTGGATACGGTCGCAACGTTGAGAGAGCCAATCTCTCAAAACTGCGCCACAGTGGGATCTGAGAAGATTGTTGCAACGCTATCTGATGATTGTTTGTTGATGAAGATTCCCGACAAATATTTCTTTATCTCATAGTATTGTTGCAAACTTTCCATAGTTTCTTTGTTTTTTTTTCTAATGGGTTGCAGATCCAGCAAGCAATTTGTAGGGTTGCCACATAACACAATCTGCATTGTTGACTGCATATACAGTGCACAGCAGTATAATTACATCAAACCTCCATGAAACTCCATCAATCTCATGTAACATCAGTAGTAAGTACATTAAAATCTAAGATGCTGGATGACTTGTGCTTGCACATGACTCTCTGTTTCAGCAACGCAGAGTGAACCTTTCAGTGAACGGCAATTGATTGCTCAAGAGGGAGCGGTGGGTGGGAATCCCCTTCTTGATGATGTTGGGATGCTTCGAGACAAGTTTTTCGAGGCACGTCCGCAGGTGTGGCATGTGTAAGCGCAAGGAAGCTGTAACAACGGGCGATTTCACTGGGACCCACCACCCAACAGTGGCACCAAGCTTCTCGAGGGTTGGCCTTTTGGGGTCTTTGCCTCGTGGTTTCGTTTTGGCTGAGACTGAAGGCAGGCACCTCGGTCGCAGCATGTTTCGGCTGACTTTTTCCCTTAACTACTAAATTTGTACGAACATTTTTGCCAGACATCACTGAGAGTCAACAGCTGGTCACTATCAAACGTCTCCGGTCGAACGCTAGAGCTGATGGATTTGCGAAGTTAGATTTATCGAACATGTCTTATTCAGCATATCTCCTACTTTTAATGAGATCGAGTGAGGACAACGTTCTTGGCCGCAGCATGCAGTTTCTTGAAGGTCTGGTTCGCTTGATCGAGAGCCGGGTTCACCAGACGCAGGCGAACATTGAGTTGGCTGTTGCAAATGGATATTTTTCGGGACTTGCAACGGACTTAGTGGCAGCCTTCAACCACATCCAGTTCCTTCTCGCCGAACATTTGGCATACCAGATCCGCTCGCACCGCCCTGGAGGTCATTTCCCCGCCTCTGTTGGTGGCTGTGCTGAGTTGGGCCTTGCTTCTGTTGACGGGATGACGGCTATGAAGGCCGTTGGGTGGGAACAACGACTCTACCATGAGTGTCATTGAACAAGCTCTTCTTTGATCTGAAGCTCGACTTCCTACTTGGCTCCATTAATGGACTCGACTCGACTCTACTCGACGCAACTCGACTCAACTCGTTTCAGCTCAACTCAACTCGTCAATTCGGCTCCGCTCGGTTCAACTCAACTCAGCTCGACTCGCCTCGACTCAACCCAAATCAACTCTATTCAATTCCATATTATTCTATTCTGCTCTACTCTGCTCTATCTGTGGCTTGCAAAATCTGGCCACCTGGCATTGGCGCCGCGATTCGCCAATGTGGCGAACGATGTCACGGATCAGCAGGGACGGATGACGGGCAGTGAGCAGAAACACCTCCACCTCTCCAACCTGCTGTTACAGCTGCTGTTGCAGAAGGGCCACGACCTCGACTAGTGTGACAATTATTCACTTCCCCCGCGGCTATCTGGCAGGCACAGCCAGCAAGAAACCAGCACCACACAGCTCACAACAACGCACTTCCCAGTGGGGAAGGCGTAGGCGTAAGCAGCAAAACACCGGGACTACGCATTCAGGAAAAATGGCCGTTGACCAAAAATCAACCAGCCTCACGGCCGTTCGGGGCTAGGCGGAGGACCTCCGAAGTTTGTGGCCACAATTACCCGCTCGCCGAGGCCAGCTGTTCCACATAGTCTGCCAAGGTCCGGGTGCCCAGACTTCGTTCGTGAGGATGGCGAATCGGAAGCCTGCCGCGGCGGAAACTTCTGGGCCTGACCACGATTTGATTTGGGTCCGGGCACCCAACCAGGGCCTGCACAAAGGAGCATTTGAAGGGGAGCGAGGCCGCAGTCCGGCGGGCACTCCGGGCAATGGGGTACAGCAGGTCTCGCATCAGCTGATGACTGACTGTGAGCAATACCCTCCGAGGAGTGCCGTCCAACGTCGGCGGCAGTCGGCACAGGACCGACCACAATGCCTCCAAACACATTCATGATGACAGATAACACTGATAACACGAATGATGCACGATCAATTATATTGATTCTATCATAGACTGCTTGAGCAAGTAGGTTGATCACCGATGACCCGATACATTTCCTCGGACAACGACTTGAGAACAGAGTTTATGAGGCCTAAAAATTACAATATCTAATATATATAATAATGATCGGCCATTCAGGATTGAGACATCTCTTAGTGCAGGAAGATCGATGGATGCAACACCTTCCAATCAGACACGCCACTACTACTACTACTCCTACTGCTCCTCCTGCTACTGCTGCTACTACTACTACTACTTCTACTACTTCTACTACTTCTTCTTCTACTACTACTACTGCTACTGCTACTGCTACTGCTACTACTACTACTACTACTAACACCATGTCAGGAATAGTGATAGCATACGACAGGTCTGAAACAGGTCTGAAACAAGTCTGAAACAGGTCTGAAACACTCAAAACTTTTAAGTTGCGTGCCTTTCCCCTTTTGCAATTTGCTTTCCTACTCGATTCCAGTAAGCTATGTTGCTACCTTGGAAAGAAAAAATAATTATGATGTCTGTACCTGCTTTTCTATATTGCTTCATGTCCCAGATCGCACTGGCTGCAATTGGATCGCCTTTTGGGTGCTATCTTTTCGGACTGCAATGGATGCAAGCAGAGTGCGTTTTGGGTGCTGCATTTTCCGGACTGCCATGGCTGCAATTAGAGTGCGTTTTGGGTGTTTGCTTTTCCGGACCGACTACTACTATTACTACTACTATTACTACTACTACTCCTCCTCCTACTACTACTAGTAGTAGTAGTAGTCGGACTACTTCTGTTACTATTAATTACTAGTTCCAGTCAAACAAAAAGTTTCATTGCTACTAGCGTGATATCAAAGATACTGAGAGCATAAAACAGGTCTGAAACAGGTCTGAAACGCTCAAAACTTCAGTCTTTCCTACCCTCCCCTTCCCTGTTTCTCTTTCTTTGCTTTGGAATGGCTTCTTGGGTTTTGCTTTCCTACTAGATGCTGTGAGTTTTCACCGGGCACCGTCGCTTTTTTGAATATGTATATTTGCTCTTCTATCTTGCTTCATGTCCCGGACCCCACTGGCTGCAATTGTATCGCCTTTTGGGTGCTAATTTTTCCGGACCGCAATGGCTATATTTAGAGTGTGTTTTGGGTGCTTGCTTTTCCGGACCGCGGCGTGTCTTCTCGGACCGCAATGGATACAATCAGAGTGCGTTTTGGGTGCTAAATTTTCCGGACCGCCATGGCTGCAATGAGAGTGCGTTTTGGGTGCTGCCTTCTCGGACCGCTACATGTCTTTTCGGACTGCAATGGATGCAATCAGAATGCGTTTTAGGTGCTGAATTTTTCGGACCGCCATGGCTGCAATTAGAGTGCGTTTTTGGTGCTGCTTTCACGGACCGCGGCATGTCTTCCCGGACCGCACTGGCTCTCATTGTTTTGCGTCTTATAAAACTCAACGAAAGGCACGCTGCTGCAGGGTGCTCAGCCGAGAGTGGCGGAGATGTGGAAAGATAGAAAAAGAGAAAAAGAAACAGGACTCTTTTAACAAGTATGACCCCATTGGTCTACGAGTATCAAACTTGGCTTCTTAGGGCCGTGAAGTGGCACTGGCATTACTGTATTGGAAATTGTTTTTCTGAAAATATGCCACCCCAAAATCACATAGTTGATCGTCATTGCTTTGTTACATAATAAATAGTTTTGGGTTTACATTCCGTTTCCAGACAAGCACCATTCTCATTGTGGCAGCAATTCAGAAAAGGAGGAAATATATGCCTACAAATGAAGACCATATTTATTGTAAACGTTATGCGAGCCAGACATGCCTCATGAAATGTAATGTAAACTAAATTAGTATTCGGATATGATTTTGCGGTAAAACATGGGGCGCGCAAGAAGGCGCAAGGGCGAGCGCAAGATGGGTAAAGTAACGCAAGAAACTACTTAGGTTTAGAACAGCCCCCATATAGATATCTGCATATGTATTTCTTTTATATATGTCTGTATTTTTTCTATGTTCATATTTATATCTAGATAATATTATATATTTATATTCATATCCATGTAAGCCCTTATGACAAGGTCCAGATCAAAACGCTTGCTGACAACTCCTCGTTCCATACGTCCGGATCACGCGCGGAACGATCCATACGAGTTTTTTGAGCCATACCCATATATATATTATATATACATGTATACATGTATGTCAGAACAGCTTCAATTTTCAATCGTTCCGAATCTTAGATAGTGTCACAATGATTCGAGCTCACAATGGGCAGGGGGACGTGTTTTAACGAGGAGAGGGAAGAAGGTCATTCAGCCCGCTGCATCTGTCAGGTGTACACCTCCCTAGCCGCTGTGCAGCGGCGGCTGGATGCGGAGGCGTCAACGGTGCTGATCGGTGTTGTCATTTTGGTTCCGAAATTTCCATTGCCTCAGATCGCGCGGCGCGGTGAGCTGTCGAAGTTCGTCGACTCGGCCGCAGAAGAGTTCGCACCAGCCGCGGCCCGTCGGCGGGCAGACTTGGATATGGCTTGAAACTCAGACGCTTTTTAACGACTTGCTTCGCACAATAGCAACTTCGTGCTGATCGGTGTTGTCATTTTGGTTCCGAAATTTCCATTGCCTCAGATCGTGCGGCGCGATGAGCTGTCGAAGTTCTCCGACTCGGCCGCAGAAGAGTTCGCACCAGCCGCGGCCCGTCGGCGGGCAGATTTGGATATGGCTTGAAACTCAGACGCTTTTTAACGACTTGCTTCGCACAATAGCAACTTCGTGCTGATCGGTGTTGTCATTTTTGGTTCCGAAATTTCCATTGCCTCAGATCGCGCGGCGCGATGAGCTGTCGAAGTTCGTCGACTCGGCCGCAGAAG